AAAGCCCACTGTGCAGATAAACGTCTACCAATGGGTAATTCTTCTCAGATGGTACAGAACACAAAATCTTATGCTGTTGCATGGGTGTGATGGGGTGGAAAGAACAAACAACTTGATTGGTCGATCCTCAGGAACCAGCTTGCTAAACGACGCGGTCCTATGCATGCCAAGCAAAGTCTTTATCTATCCCAAGCCTCGCAATTGGTACCGGGTCGCCCAGATAGCAAGCCCGGGCAGCCTGAAAAAGCCCAAAAGAAAGCCCAAAAGAATTATCACTTACCGGTATATTGATCAGGTCACAAGATATCATATCTTCTGATTTTAAACAAAGGTGTTGTGAACCCCAGGACTTGCGGAACCTGAAGCCTCTGCTCAAAATCCACTGGAGTAAGTTCCACTCCATTCATTCTTTTGTTAAAGTTTACTAACATGCTATTATCCTAGATTGTGCCCCGATGGAGTACGCCAAAGGGAGCACGCTACGTCGCCGAAGTGGGCAATCAATATCCACAGCATACCGGCAATATCTGCTGAACTGGGAGGAATATTCTCGGAGACCAAATGAACGATTAGTGATTTGGGACATTCCCTTGGTTCGGATACTATTCAAGCACTTCAATGTCTTCGAAGCTAACAATCAACGGCTAGAGTGGGGGATCTCTAAAAGTGTTTAGGAAACTCATTTCCGAGAATAATTCTTCCTTTTTACGCTGTTTTCTAGATATTTCTTGTTTTTCTTCCTCCGGTTCACTGGCTCTTGTGCCATCTAATCACCTGTTTTTCCTAGGACCAGTGCTGCTTGAAGGTCCCCCGAGTACCGAGGTTGAAGCAACCGGCTTCTTTGAATAGGATTGGGTTAATCCCCGCTCTCGAATAGTTTGGGCTTTCCAGGTGGCCCGGGCTTAAGAATTTACGGCCCGGGACGGCCCATTGTGAGGCTATCCTCAGCCCTTCACAATGTAAGGGTGGTTGCCTGTATCTGTATTCTTAACATTCAACATTAAGGTTATTGCGAACTATAACACCATAGACCTGTGTACTTAGTGCATCCTGATAGATTTTTCGGACAACTGGCATCTAATTAATATTACTGAGTACGGGAAATCATACTCAATCAAAGATGAACCTCACCAGTTCACCCCCCTCGCCTCAAGAACCGAATCAACATATTCTGAGATAAATCAGAACCACTGATCCTCTATATTTTCTGAAGGACATTGTGCAAACAAGTTCTTCCTCCTAAACCTCCCCTCATTCAGAATACCGCCGGCCCAAGCCTCCATCTAGCCTTCAACCACCCCACTACTCTTAGTATTAAACAGTAAACCTCTATTGTAATCCTAGGTACAGTACGGGAAAGGAGCAAAAGCATGACCAGTCAAATAGCGTTCATCGCACCATGGTTACCAAGAGACTTAGCACCCTTCTCTACCAAAGCTAGATGAGTCTGGTTCTCACTATCCTTGCACTTGGCAAACAATAACATCTCGAGCCTACCGGCAAGAGTCTGGTTGCACCCTCGTTCGCTTTCCCTAAACTCTGATTTTACGCACCACTTGGCATCATGGTACTGTACTCGATTACTCCTGAGCTCTTAGGTGTGTTCGGTAACCGACGGTGGCTGATGGCGCCCACCATCTAGCACGGGTAGGCTGCCATTAGTATTATAACCTGACGAAATGATGATTGTTTACGCTCCGTTTGGGGCCGAGACCCAGTGCCTAAAGCCAAATTCAAAAAGTTTCCCCTCAATAATATACCGGTAAGCTAGCACCAAGGGTTGTCAATTTAATTGACTTACCAGTAGTGTGTTGTGTTGGGTTAGGGTTGGTGATAATCAATATTTTGTTCCCACCACAGCAGCACAGATTTCCCCGACAAGCCCAGATACTCTGACGAGGATACCATAATCCCCGCTATAATTGCAACAGCAAGTGGGCTTCATTCAGTTCTTGAAGCCTATTTTTCTGTAGATGCAGGTTCGAATTGACCGACACGTTGGGGATTAGCTTGGAATATACAGTGTCATGATGTTTCAGTCTAGGTGTAGAGAGTTGAAGACCATAGGAATAGTAAGTAATAATCGAAACCACAGTGGGTAATCGCAGAAATCTCAGATCTAAACCCCACTATCATAGATCCCAAGACATTCAACCATGACAACTTAAGCCCCATCCACCCAGCCCAGGAAAGAACAGCAAGGCCTTTGCCGCAGCGCGGCCAACCCCACCACCAGGGACCAGTTGAGAAATGTTTTTTTGTTCTCCCGGTACTGTACCAGTCCACCCCAGACCCTTCCATAGGGAACAAGCGAAGTCCAACACCTCACCTCCAGCCCTTATGTGGTACACCAATACAGTAATGGATGATATATATCCAAATTAACCCCACGGGAAACTGATAGTGGGGGAAAAATAAATATATAAAACCCAGATAGAAAATTAGTGTAAGAAGGCCAGAGGGACCTTTTTTTTTTTAACATTAGTGGACAAGCAAATATCTAACATGTTCTGATCAGAATCCTCGGTAAATCATCTTCTTCAAAGGCTCTTCCGTAGGCAATCCGGCAAGGTGCATTAAAACAACCTTATTATGATACTCTGTTTGGCAACACTGAAACGGATTTTTTTATTATTATTTCTCCTAGCTTGCGGTGAAACCTCGAGCATTGCTAGTGTAAAAAACTGCCTCCAGTACCCTACAGGAAGGACCCAGGATCGGCCGGTACAAAATATGTTTTCTCCGGACCAGTCCCGAGAAAACACTCAAATCAACCCACTAGTACAGCACACATACCGTTCACACCAGGGGACAGACAAATATCAGAACCTGTAAGGACAAAACAATGACAAATCTAGACCTGAAGGTGGTATTGCTATACGGAAGGAACGGGGAAACGACCAAAAACATGTACTGGGCATTCCCAGTATAACTGTCGGAGCATCACCCGGGCTCTACCAAGTAACTGGGTTTCTTTTTGAACGAGCGGCGAACTAACAGGGATCTCGTGGCAACGGGCCAATCGGAAAACTAACCGAGTGACTGGCTGTGAAACGAAACAACGCCACAACGTCAAGCTCACTCACGTGAAGGGATCGCACAGCTCACACCGGCCGGAAAAAAACTTTTCTCACACTCTCTCTCACCCCCTAACTATCGCGCGCATCAACTAACTAATGGCAAGGACAGGAGAATATATCCATCGACAACCGACAAACTTTCATACCCCCCCCAGGTAAGTCCCCCGTATACGAGCAAACAAGAAAAGCTAACAAAGGAAAGACAAACTCGCGCTTCCCCCCGTGCGCCTTTCCGCTGCGCTCTCCCCTCGACGCTTTTCCGTCACGATCTTCCGCGCTCCGCCGTGCGCTCTCCCACCGTGTTCTTCCCGCTGTGCACTTTCCTCCGCCGCGCGCTTTCAGCCATGCGCCTCCGCTGCGCTCTTCCACCATGCGACCTTCCCGCTGTGCGCTCTCCCGAAAAACCAAACAATCAATCAATCCACATCCAGCCAGCAAACTAGAGGGAAGAGAGGGGGGGGAAGCGAGCATGCCGAGCAGCATCTTGTGGTTTCCAACAGTTTTTTTTTTTTTTGCGAACTTGACGAAAGACAGCCCGCAGTGCAGCCCCCAGTGTCGGACGCTAATCACCTTCACGAACCCCCGAGTACACATGAGAGCAACGCCGGGGAGGAAGAGTAAGCCTCCGGGACTACCATCAATAGGCACAAAAAGAAACCCCCTTTGTGCCAAACGCCTAGTCTCTTGGTTAATTTCTATCCTATCTACAGTACCGTGCTACGCTCCTGACTCGCCAAAGTTTGTCAGCGATTATTATTTTCTCCCCATCTTTTTCCATCCTTCCGTCGCTAGTGATGTGCCCATTGTGATTCCGGGGAGGGTGTTGTTTAAGATGTTGTAAGGTTATTTATGCTAGAAAATAGTGTTTTTGGAGGGTGCCAACCACGGCCCTATCTAGATAGCCAGATACCTACAAACAGGAAGACGGGGCCATACGGTCAGGTACCTCATTATAGGAACACTCGGCCAGGTGCTGTAAGTAAAAGGCTCAAAACCCGAGGACTTGTTCACAACTTTTATGAAAAAAGCGTTATTAGCTCAAAACCAAGGATGAGAAACGCAAGTATCTCTAGTTTCCGTGGAGCTATTGAACTATTTGGGCGCGGGAAATTGGACGTCGGAGAAATATATATTCAGAGAATAATGGCGGATGAGTGATATACTGTGATTCCTTAATTCGTTTAGTGAAATTGATAAGAGGTGCCGATATGGGAAGCAGGAGAGCCGCTTCCGGGACACAAGACACTCCGCCGGGTATTACGCCCGTGGGGGTCTTCGGTGCGCCTTAGAGGCCTATGGGTGAGGGCTCCCTTGCCATGGACAGAGATCCCCAGCTACTCTCGGATAGTGTTATCTTCGATGCTTGCGCAACCTTGATGGATAGGAGTGTGGGCTTCATTATGCTGCCGCCGAGTTCCATGGGCGAGATTAAAAAGGTCGCGGAAGAATTGAGGATGAGGCCGAACGGTGGTTGTTGCGAGGAGCTCGATTACCTGGGTCAGGAATTTCCTCGATGCCTGCCTACTCTATTTATTAATGTCCCACATGACGAAAGTGGAAAAGTCACGACTTTTGTGGCGCCCCGAACACGGCCAAGTGTATTTTCGGAGGAAAACAGAGTTTTCTTATTTGGCGGCATTCCAAAAAGTGCTTTAATATTGTTCCCAAAAATCACCAGCTCTACAGCAACTATAAACCCCTGTTCTTCTCCTTCCTAGAAAGCCGTACGAACCCAGTACCGGCCCTCTCCATGCATGTGGCCACCAGCGCAATCACCCACCTCGGACCGGCGGTGGCTTTCCTCCACCTCTTCACTCTTCGGAGTCCATCCAGAGCCGATTCCCAATCTTGTGTCCAAAGAAAGCTTTGGGTACACCACTGCTCGACAACATACAGAAGTCCAACACCCGATACCGAGCATGTGATGAATGTGGCCATAGTCCAGCTGAGCTCAATGCCGTAGGACTTGTAGTATTGCACGCTCTCAAAGTCCACGTACCCACCGCCGCCACCCCACAAGCTCGACATACAGCGGCAGGAAGAGTAGATCCCGAAAGTCTGCGCGGCAATTATGTACACAAGCCAGCAGAAGTTTGTAAATTCGCAGAATCGTAGGATCCACTGTGCCACCCTCCGTTGAGTGTCCCGGCGCAGGAGCGCCCATGCAGCCATTTCCATGAGCATGCAGCCAAAGGCGTTGAGTCCAAAGATAGTGTACCCCCCGGAGCGGCAGCTCAAGCCGACAGTGGGAGTAGAATAGCTAACGAGAAAGGCGCCCATGCTGCAGGAGCAGACCATCATGAAGGAATATATCATCTGCCATCCCTGGCTGATGTCAGAGCTCAGGAGGGGGGAGTAGGTTCTTTCCACGAGCTCATTAGTTTGTTCGTATATGTCTAATAAACCGCGGCGTCCCACCCTGGGCATAGCTTCTAGCGTGCGGAGGATTGAGTGCGCCACACCAAAGTGCCAGCGGACGCGGCCTTGGCCCGCAAACTTTCTGAAAAAGTTGGTTTCGGCGACTCCAGGGGGTGTCTGGGGTGCATGAATGGTCACCATGACTCCACGGAGGTACTTGTTCAACTTGGCGCGGACATAATGGGCATCAGTTGGGTTTCTGTCAACGATTGTCGCGGCCACGAGAACTGGGAACCAGGACACCAGCAAGCCCAGTGCGAGGTTGTGAGCTGTTGTGTTCTTCCCGAGGTCCCCGAAGGCCTTGTTTATTGAGATAGCCATTGCCACCAGGAACCAGGCTAGAGATACTAGGACTTGGACAACTCCCCGACGGCGTTCCCGGCGGATGCTTGCGGCTACTCTGCTCCTCATTTGTTCAATTTCGGGCCTCCTGTCGAATAGGGCCACGCGGAGGATTTCCTCTACGCGACGTTCTTCTAGCTGTGGGCGGATACCGAGTTCGTATTGATTGATCACGCTAAGGAGGTATAAGGAGTCTCTAAATCCGGCAAATCTGCTGTCCGGTAGTGGCCGCTCGTTTTCCCCGACGCTCATTTCAACCATGGTAGCACACTTCCTAGTAACCTTCATGTTCCACAAAATGCACATCATGGAAACCATGGGAGAACCCACCCACCGGAATAGAAGAAACATGGTTTGTTGGAAACGATTGCTCTCGAAGGGGGCCTGCAGAATTAGCCCCATAAGAGGGAGTACCCAGGTCGTGATTGTATCGGAGGATTTATCCCAGCTGTAGAATGCCGGTGTACTACCGCAGTGCTTCTCGCAGGCGGCAAACGTTAACAGGAGTACCGGATTTTCGGTGTTTTGTAGCCGACCCAGCGGACCTTTTACAGGACCGGTGTAGATATCCTCGGGCGGAAGGGAATTGTTTTTTGCCAATTCCTTGACGAGTGCACCGCATCGCCCAAAGTCCGTTTTCGCAGTCGCTTCAAGAGGGGTTGAAATTAGAAGCAGGAGTAACATAAGTAACCGAGGTTTTCCTGCAAGAACTGGTCGTAAAGTATT